AATGCTGCGAGGCCTGGCCGTGCCCTGAACCGTCAAGATGGACGGTTCAGCCCCAACCGGCGGGCGGCAGCCTCAAGAGCGCCGCCAGGCCCAAATGGTAATGTCGTTTGGGCCTACCCGTCGGGTCTGGTCCAAAGTGAGGCCTTTAGGGCCTGTATTACCCCCAAGGTCGGGCCTTTAGGCCCTACAGTGTCCCTCTGGCCCTAAGTCGGGTCCGGTAGGGCCCGTGTGGCGTCGAAGATGTAACACACTCCCCCTCTTAAAAGACCGAGCTACCTGCGAGGGCGAAGTTGTCTGTCCGATACCGGGGTGGGTCGGGCGGGACGAGTTGCTTCCTTAGCAAGGCGTCGCTTCTCATAGTCCGCGAAGATAAGGGGTGCAAAAGTTTGCAAATTTGTACTGGAGATGCACCGAGTGTCATCAGGCGCACATTGCCTGAATGTGGCTTTGAACTGCATTGGCTTGTTGCCATACTTGCGATGCGTGATGACTCGGTCGACTTCCTGATGTCCGTCCATAGAAGGCGGATCCTGTGATCGACGGCCGGGAAACTCGTCGGCGGAAGGTGGCATGTAGATGGCCAGCTTCGACGCGTGGAAGACCCGGTGCACTGGAAGGTGCGGAGGAATGTTGACCACAAAGGAAGGACCTGCGGGGTCATCTCCAATGACAGAAGTGACTTCCCATGGTCCGAACCATTTCGGAAGGAGTTTGCGCGAAACGTCCTGCTCGAGCGCAAATTTCTCGAAGAGGACCCAAACAAGGTCTCCCTCGCGGAAAGGGCATGGAAGTCGACGTCGGTTAGCCTGCTGCTACATGCGGATCTGAGCCTTTTGCATATTCGCGCGGGCTTTGATGAGCAAGTCCCGGTACTTCCGAACGGAAGCGGGAGAGCAAGGGACGTCTATGTCGGCAGCCTGTGGCAAAAGGAGATCAGCGAAGATCCGTGCTTTCTCTCCACCATGATGTARCTCGAATGGTGTGACGCAGATCGCCGGGTGCACCGAAGTGTTATAGCCGAACTCGATGTCAGGAAGTCGGTCAACCCAATCTTTCTGGTCGGGACGGATGAGCGTACACAACATCATCTGAGCAGTCTGGTGCGCTCGCTCCGTCTGGCCATCCGTCTGCGGGTGCCGAGCCGAGCTCGGCTTCATTGTCGTACCGGACTCAGCCATGAGGGAAGTCCAAAAGGCCGACATGAAGCGAGTATCTCGGTCACTCACTATGTCTTCCGGAACACTCTGGTTGGTAATCCACCCGGCGTGCAAGAGTCATGCGAGTTCAGGCGCTGCAGCATGATACTTGCAATGAAGGAAGCGAGCATACTTGCTCAAACGGTCAACGACCGTGAGAATACTGTCATGGTCGTGGCGATCGCGGGGGAACGGGTATGTCACGTCCATAGCGATGGAAAGGCGCGGTGCCCGAGGAATCGACAACGGTTTCAGTTAGCCGAAGGGGACTCGAGATTGACCCTTGTTACGGTGGCAAACTGCACATGACTCAATGTACCTCGTGACGTCATGAAGGACGTCGGGCCAGTGAAAACGCTGGCGGAGGCGTGCTAATATGCGGTTCATGCCAAGGTGTGCCGAAAGTCGTGCGTCGTGGAATTCGCCGAGAAGACGAGTTCGTAAGATGCGATCTTGGGGCACAACTAACAAGTCCTTTCCTCTCGTGTGAAGGAGAAAGAACCCGTCAGAAATCCGATAGTGGCTAGCCGGCGGGTGATCCAATGAAAGCTACGCGTAAAGCGTAGAGTAAGTTAGATCGGACTTGTAGCCTTTGACGAAATGCGGCTGCAGATCCTTATCGAGGTCCAATGTCGTGGTCACAATGGCACAAAAGTTGGGCCGTCGTGAGAGGGCGTCCGCAGCTCGATTGGCTGGACCGGGAATGTGACACGGGTCAAAATCGAACTGGTCGATGTAATACATCCATCGACCGATCATGCTAGTGACCGTATCCTGCATTTTGTAAAAGGTCAACGGATTGTTGTCCGTATTCCATTTAAAACGCTGACGGCCGAGAAGAAAGTGGCGCCACCATTTGAGAACGGTGACGAACGCGAGTAACTCTTTCTTCCTAGCGTCGTCGAGAGTGTTGACGAGAGGCACCTTTTGGGAGAAATACTCGACCGGATGCCAACCGTCCTCGTGACATTGTTCCAACACCGCACCAATACCGTATCCCGAAGCGTCCRTAGTCACTTGGGTGGGAAGGGTGGGGTCATATATACGSAGKGCAGGTGCGGCTTGCATCGCTGCCTTCAACGTAGTGAACGCGCCACGGGCTGCGTCGTCGAACTCGAAGGGCACCTTCGGGGACTGAAGTCTCGACAAAGGAGCGACCACTTTCGAGTATGACTCGACGAATCGCTGATAATATCCAGCCAAACCCATGAAAGAGTGTACATCCGTCATGCAACGGGGTTCCGGCCAATCCACGATGGCTTGGATCTTGTCCGCTAAGGGACGAATGCCTTTCGGGGTGACAAAATGACCCAAGTTTGCTTAGCGAACTCGCACTTGTCGAGATTCGCTTTGTACTTGGCTAGTCGCAGACGATCCAGAACAACGCGAATGTGTACGATGTGCTCGTCCAACGTCCTACTGTAAACCAAGATGTCATCAAGGTAGATAAGGACGCTGCGAACGAGCAAGTCGCGAAACTCAGTTGTCATCGCTGCTTCGAAAGTCGCGGGGGCATTGGTGAGGCCAAAAGGCATGACAACCCACTCAAAATGCCCGTACCGCGTCTTCAATGCGATCTTGTACCGATCTTGAGGTTGGATTTCAATCTGGTGGTAGCGCAACTTCAAGTTGAACTTCGAGAAGTACGTCGAGCCGCCTAACCGCTCAAGAAGATCATCAATCCGAGGGAGAGGGTCGGCGTTCTTTATGGTTTGTGCGTTAAGTTTGCGATAATCGATGCATAACCGTAGATCTTTGTTCTTCTTCCGGACGAAGAGAACAGGGGCACCGTAGGGCGAACAACTAGGGCGAATCCAGCCCTTGTCGAGAAGGTCATCGAGTTGTGCGCGAAGCACCTCGAGTTCCTCTTCGCTCATGCGGTAGATGCATCCACGCGGAGGGACGGCGCCAGTCTCGAGAGTGATCCCATGACGTATGGGCCGATCCGAAACCGTTCCACTGGGGGCCTCGAAGACGTCTCTATACGCGTCCAAGAGGTGAGAAATGCGTGGGTCCGGCGGTGACGCGGCTGGTCCGTTCGGCGAGGGGAGAGCATGCAAGAATACAAGGCCCATCTCCTCGATGTCATTCCGAGCTATGGCGTCGCCAATTCTCGCAACGGAAACCACGTGACAAGCAAACGAAGTGTGAGGTTTCACGACCGTACATGGGACTTACACTCCGTTCCGATCACGGATGTGAACGGTTCGGTCATGAAAGTTCACCAGATGATTGACGCTACGCAATCAAGACATGCCTAGAATCATGTCGAACTTGGTGTCGAGGATGTCAAAAGACACAGGCTCGCACGCAAGTGGCGCAAAGTATACCAGAACGCCGTCGGCGCATCGGTCAATTGATTTTTGCTTGCGGTCGTCCGCGAGTGTAACTTGCATGGGTTGCGTCTTCCTTCGAACGCGCGGGCCATAAAGGCTTGGCTCATAAAGTTGTGAGACGCTCCGCAATCAATCAAGGCACTACAGGTTGCCTTTCCGATTTGAATGCGGATATAGAGCAAAGGYGCGTCGGTTTCGGCGTACCTTTGGGTGGCGTACTCGCGGTCAATCTTCGCAAGATAGGAGCGGAGATCGACAACCGCTACTCCGTCGTCCGTCAACGGAGCTGGTACTGTAGTGTGCCAATAGGAGCGTAGATTTGCCATCAAGGCGTTGCAATGCGGCCTTGGCAAGGTTCCGGTTGAGGGAAGAGGCATCCAAGCGAAGTCCTCTCTCATGAGCGGGTCAAGCTCCTCAAGTCTTGACCACACCATCGAGTCCTCGGAAATCAGTGGCGAGCTGACCGGATCACTTGTCGACGGTGTACAGGCTGCGCATACGCAATCTAAGTGCACGTGGCTCGACTGGTCTAGTGGTGGTACCAGCTGGGCGGCATAATCCTCGTACGTAGCACGAGAATCAGCGACTAACGCATGCTCCCCGGTAGTGACATCGATTGCTAGCAAGGCAACCGGGTCCGGCGGAGTGAGGAGAGACGTCACCCCTCTCCTTGCGTAACTCAGTTTCCCGAGTTAGCTGGACGGGGTACGCATTGCCTTGCCCTTTTCGGGGCATTGTGCGGTCAAATGAGTGACTCCATTGCACCAAAGGCAATATCTGTACCGTTGACGGAGTTCNGGGGTACGCATTGCCTTGCCCTTTTCGGGGCATTGTGCGGTCAAATGAGTGACTCCATTGCACCAAAGGCAATATCTGTACCGTTGACGGAGTTCATAGATTTCCTTGGTTATCTTGTATGTCGTCCATGGCTGCTGCCCTGTTCCCGTCGATGCCGTCTCTTGTGTCGCCTTGTTCTTCCGAACTCTCTTGGGACGCTTCAGCGTGAGCGCTGCTACAATTCCTCCATCACTCGAGGATGCTGCTGCAGTGTGGAGATCGACTGTTTCTTCAGAAATCACAACATTGTTATGTGTTGGTCATTGATAGGCCGACTTAGCCACATAGTGCGGTTGGGACTGCTTCTCGTTAGCGTCCTTGTCGTCCGTTTGGATGACCAGGTTTGTGCGGTCCAGAATAGCCTGGAACGAGGTATAGTCGTACTCGTTGCTGAGTGTCGACCGCAATCCTGCGCATGATCGCGAGAAGAACTCGGATCGTTGGTTTGAAAAACTCAAATCGAAGCCTGGCGTGGTCACTATCTTTTGCCACTTATTCGTCCAGTCTTGAGTTGGCATATTTCCCTGTGAGCAAGTGTACACCTCGTTCATAGCCGCCTTCACGACGTTGCGGACCATGAATCGAGTGAACCATAGTTGCTCGAACTCCTTCCACGTGATGTGCGTGTGGAGTTCGGCGATGGTGCATTGCTTGGTACCCGCCAGGTGATTCATCCATGCCTGCGCTCCTCCAATCAGTTGTAGGTAGAGCGCCTTCAACATGTCTTCAGCCGGGACAATGCGGCAGGATGCTTCCGTGAGGAAACCTTGCCACCATGTCAAAGCGTCGGTCTTGTTGTAGTCGTCGAACTTGCTGATGGTGAACTGCGGCATCTTGAAATTCTTGGTAGCGGCGTCCGGTCTCGTCTGCAGCTTGGTGATGTTCGTCTTGATGGCGGCCACCGTGCTGCTGATCGTGTTCGGCCAAGTGAAAACACCTAGGTCACCGATAAGATTGACGACATGATCGATGCGCCCAATGATCTGCTTCGTTGTGTCTGTCGTGCAGCCTATCGCTGCTTGGGGAGGCCCTGCCTCCAGAGTAGCAATGCGGGCGTCCAACTGTTTCAGCTGGGAGTCCGCGACCTTGACGGCTGCTGCAAGTGTCTTCACGTTGTGGTTCAGATCTTGCTGCAGCTGCCGTGTGGACTGGAATGAAGTTCCCCCATGGTGCTGTTCCAGATGACTGCGCGCATCGTGTTGAGTAGAATGTCCGCCAGGTTTTGCCTCTCCTGTTGCACTGTCGTTGGCTCGGTGCCCGCTACGGGAACATAACGCATCCCGTTGAGTACCGCTGTCCACTGCTCTTGGCTAGAAAGCAGAAGTTCAGCACTGTCGGCGTTGAGCTGATCGGTCGCCAACTGGTCTGCCTCAGCTTGACGCTGGGCTTCGGCTGCAGCTTCTGCTGCTAGCCGTAGTCTCTCTGCTTTGGTAGCCTCTTGCCGTTCTTTGGCAAGGGTGAGTGCCGCTGTATAGTCCTGCACTCTCTGAATGAAGTCCGGGAGGGACTCATTCGACCCTTGCACCAGACAGACCGGTCGGGGTTCGGCATTGCCAGATGTCGAACTTTCAGATAATTCCGCTGTTTGTCGTGTCCGCCATCTGAGTGCTGGTCTGTGGCTGCTAACGATCTGCAGGTGGCTGTTGTTGTTGGAGATCTGCGATCCTCTTGCTGCGTCGTGGCTGCTGTTCGGAGGCTTGCCCTGCTGGCATCAGAACTGCTGCGGGAGGCTCGCTCGTCCGAAGGTCGCAGAACAGTGTGAGGGAGAGGGTGGGTACAGGGATAGAACAGATCAAGCAATATACATACCGTCCCTGTCCCTAATGATGGACTTAGACACCTAATCAAACAGAAAAAATAATTTTCCCGTAAACAATTCGAAAAATTCGTAATAAGAAAAATAATAACGAATTATTTAATCAATAAGTTTAATTAATGATTAATACGAAATAATAATTCTTAATGATAATCAATAAACAATATTTGCAATAATGATAATGAACGAATTTGAATTGTTATCAAGATCAGGTATCCGTTGAGATCATCTTTAGTCCGGGAGTTCACCGTTAATTAGTGAACTACCCGGAAGTTGCAAGTTTGAGGGTCAGATTCGGATTAGTTGCCAAAAACATTTTTGGACAAAAATCCGGAGAAAAACACTCGAATTTTCAAAAAACGTAAAATTTCGGGAATTTCCACCGTCAAAATCCGATTTTTAAAGGCCTACACCTGTTTTCGGAATTTCTCAAACAAGGGAAAGAAAAAGAAAAAAAAAAATTGCGAAAATTTCTCTCCCAACCCTAATTTTCCGCGTTTCGGCGGAATTACCGGATTTACGGATCCAAAACATTCGAATTTCCCAAGTTGATCAAAACCAAAATTTTCGTAACCCTAATTTCCACTACTGCAATAAAACGGAAATGCCTATTTAGAAAACAAAATATCCAATTAAAATCAGAATGCCGAATTATAAAAACGGAAACCGAATTGAAAATCAGAATGCCGAATTAAACAGAGTACTGATTTCAACCTAATCACGAATCAATAACCAGAAATCCGAATTAAACAGCATGTCGGATTAGTATCAATTTATCGGAACTCAAATTAAACAGCATACCGGAGTAAAACAGAAATCCGAATTACAAGTCCGAATACCGAATTGAGACGGAAATGCCGAAATAAACAGAATACCAAAAGAGAAAAAAAAATTGCAACTTTGAACTCGATAGTAATACAGAGCTGATTTGGAAGATTGAAGAAGCAATCTAATTCCTAATCAGACTTACCTGGTGAGCAGATCCGTGAAATGGTCTGCTCCGATACCAAAACTGTTACATACTCGTGATTTTATCAACGAGTATGGGGCAGAACCAAAGATCAACCAATATAGGATGAGTATGTGTGCAACGGAAGTCTGAGAAGCGGACTGACTCACATATAGACTGACTCACATAGATATCACTCCACACACATACAATCGTGAGATGGTGGGGTCTGAGCCATACATAGACGATGCTCGGCCCCGTACACGCATACACAGATGAAGGCGGGAGGAGAGACGAAGGAGGTGGGAGATGTAGGTAGCACCAGATGTCACCGAGATAGAAACCAGTAGGTCACCAATATGGTAACCCAAAATGTCATCGAACAAGATCAAAATGTCGAGGACAATCACCAATGTCGGAGATACAGAGTCCTAATGTAACTGGTGTCCAATCTGTGATGCAGCCGAGTATCATCCCCGACAATCTCCAAGTCTCGAACCCGGTAAGTACCACAGCCTCTTACTACCGAAGTCCAAC